ATATGGATTGGCCCACAACGATATCTTTGAGAAATTGCTCTATTCACCCAGCTGTATTTTCCAGCCTGGCACTACAGGCAAATGTAGTTTTTAACTTCTAGCCGCCACACCTCAAGGACCCCTTGGCATGTTGGCAGGACCCCCTCGTGGTTGCGCGGTGCTGGGACCTGTTCCGCAGACCCTCGCCGTGCTGGTGGGGGACGCTCGCCCACTCCCACCTTCGCAGCGTGGGCAACCGAGGGGCGAGGGAGCCCCAGAGCTAATGGGCCCAGTTCTGGCTCAGGCCGTGCTTTTACCGGGGTCGGCGACAGCTGCGTCACCGCAGCTGGCAGCAGCAAGGGCTGTGTCCGGAGCCAGCAGAGCGCCCGCGGCCCCGCAGCATCCTTTCCCACCGCTCCGGGGTCCAGGGGTATGCCTGCGGGTACGGCACCCAAACCCTGCGTTTTCCAGCTCCATCTTGTGGTAAAAATGGGTATTTCCATGTCGGAGCAAATAACTCCGTGCTGTGGGAGCGGGTAGATGTGTGGATGGGGAGAGGTGAAGATGGAGGTGTTGATGCTCAGAAACCCCCAGTGGAAAAAAAATGAATTGAGGCATCGAGAAAGATGGATTTAGCCTGGTGAGGTCTCTGCTGAAGCCCAGAAACCAAGAGGTCCTTTTCTTCTTTTTAGGTGCTAGGGCAGCTGTGGCTTTCTTGCAGCAAAAGAGCTTCACCCCTTGCCCCCTGCACAGTTCCTGCTCCTGGTTGAGCAGCTGTCCGGGTGCCTCTCTGGGGTGCCCCGGGGCTGATTGTTCTCCTGTCAGGCAGGTGATTTCGCTGTCAACTCTCATGGGCGTGCACAAAGCCAACAGGTGATGCCCACAGCTCTACTTGTCACCAGCAGCGGCACAGGCCCACCAGAGATCAGAGCTACGGGCTGTGCAGAGGCTGGCTGCTGCCCCAGCGGCACGCTGCTTCATCCCTGCTTGTTAAACTCTAGCTGTGACAAGGTGGATAAGGCCAACGATGATGTAAACAATAACAATAACAATTTCTCCCTCAGAGGAACGCTGTGGAGGCTCCTAATGTGAAGCTCACCTTCTTCAGCAGCTTGCATGCCTGTAGATACGGGAACAGTCAGGGTGGGGGCAAGCACAATGCAATGAGGATGTCCTGCCCCCAAATCTCCCCTGCCTTGCCTTTGCCGGTGGTTGTGCTGCTTCCCCTGGGGGTCCCCGTCTTGCCCTCCTTATGGGCCTGAAGGGCCACCTCTGCAACATTTGTTGGATGCTTGGTGAACAGGCTCACCTCACATTTGTGCTGACATCTTTGAAAAATGACTTTGATTCTCTCAGTATACTGTTTCAGTGATTCATTCTTTATGTGCATTTACTCAGCAGACGTGAGTGGGGAAATAAGATTGATGATAAATTTATATGTTAATTTTAATATTGAAGCTATCCTGTATTTGAAGAATAAGATCAATTCTTCAATTTCATTTCTTAAGTGATATTGCATATTGTCATTACTGGAAAATAAAATTATTTCTGAATGCATGCTATCCAAACTTCAATTTTAGTGGACATATAACTCTGAAGCATCATTCTTCTCCCTTCCCTATAACAACTAACTTAATACAGTATTTTAACATTCTCGCGCTAGTCGGCCACTGGAAGATAACAAAGACAAGTCTTTTCACCCTAAATAGTGTTTTGTTACTGTGCTGCCTGCAGCATTCTGCACTGTCACAAGCAGATTTGGTGGGTGACTCAGCAACTTCCTACAGGCTGTTGCACGTATGATACAACAGGAATCTCGGGTAAGAGTTGCGTCCCTCACTGGAGACTGATTCTATTCATTTCCACAATTGCAGCACTGCTTGAGAGCTGTAGCCACAGCTATATGCCAAGCATGTGTGTATACAGGATGAATCCCGACCTTAAATGGAGGATCAGACCCTTAGAGCGCTACCAGGAAGCAGATCCTGCAGAGGATAGGTACAGAGCATCACATGCACAGAAAGATTGGGCACCTACAAAGTGAGATGTACTTTCAGGAGGTCTGCTGCCAGAGACCAGCCTCTCTTGAAGCTGCAACAGAAGGAAAATATTTGCAGCATCTTTGGGAGTGTGGTTTGCTATTTTTTTGTCTTTGCAAGCTGTGCAGGAATTTGAGCTGAGGGATGGATAGCAGGAACATGTTCAAAGTTACATCCTTACCCTTCCCCCTAACCTGAGGAAGATCACATAGGTCAGTTTAAATTTCAAGTGTCTCTTTTTCCCCCTCCATGAGACAAAGATAACTACTACAAGGATTTAATGGATATTATCTGAAAATTCTTAAAAAAAAAAAAAAAAGTGCTCTGTAAATATGAGAGCAGAGCATAGAATTTCCCAGAGCATGTAGTGTAAGATTTTGTTTCTAATTTTTTCTCTCCCAGAGGGAGACAGAAGCTATAGTTTTTCAATAGCTGAACAGTGCCTGCCTTCAGCAAGAGAGTTCCCCTGAAAAGCTAAGGTCAGGGTAATCCTGAGACAATCCTGAGCCAGCCACTGTCATACAATGGCTAAAAGTTGTGAGACCTAAGGTAAACGCTGCTTGGGTTCTTTCCATCTGTCGTGTTTCTGAGCCTATAGATTCCATACATTCCAACTTTCTCCTCTGCGAC